TAAATATATTAAATGTGGTGCACTGGATAGCTTCCCAACCTTCTAATAAAAATTGGTTCTCTATCCAATCTGATTTTTGGCTGCTATCTAAAATAACACACTGCGTGACTTTATCGTATAAATTTGGTCTATTCTTCTAGAATCATTGATAATACATTTATTTAGGCCTTTAAATTAGGATATTTGTTAGTGATTTGAATGAATTATAGCCTACTTTTGTGTTAATTATGTTTGTTATATTGAAATCAATGCACATTGATAGATTTGGAAAAAGGAACGAAAAACGTGCGAAAACGAAGGAATTCCAAAGTTTGGAGGCCAAAGTGTAAACATCCAATAGTTAATTCGGACCACAAAAGGAAGATTGAAGATTATATGACATCATTTGAATGTAATTGGAGGTCAAAGGAATGAAATAATGTTGAAGCATTTTCACAAATCAAATTCCAGCCGAAGAAGTTACGTGCCGAATTTTTAGCCTCAATTTGAGAGCTATTTTTTGGATAGAAAATGTTTGAATTGGAAAATTTGTAACTCTGAAAGAATTGTGGCTCTTTAAGTCAACTTTCCAAAACACTTTGAATCACTCTAATCAGAATTTGGAAAAGAAAGTTATAATCAAATTATCGAGAGCTATCCAGTGACGACGTGTAAAGCAACGGCGTGCACACCACCTCTTTTTCTCCTAAGATATATGGCACGAGAGCACGGGCCAAATTTTCTGCGACGGGTAATTTTTCTTATTATGATGAAATTCTATATGGAAACAATATTTTGACATCATATATATAGCTAAAGATGCCCAGAACGAAGAGAACCTTCCTTTTGACCTAAAAATCTTATATTCTATGTATTTTGGAGGTGAAGAACGAGGCCAAGCGTGAAGATAAAGGCGGATTATACAAGTTTATTGAAGAATATTCGTCCCTTTTCAAGATTCAAGCCAAGAAATTGGATTTCTCCACTTTCTTCATCATTTCTTCTTTTCGGGTGATATTTTTTCAATATTTCTTGTATAATTTAATCATTAGAATGCTAGACTAGTTTTTCTATTGTATTGAATGAATGATGAACTCCATTGCATATTTGTTTTGATTTAAAAATATTAATTTAGTTATTTCTTGATTGATTTTACATACCCATTGCATTAGTTAATTAATTAGCCACCAATTGAATAATTAGTTGCTTGTTGTAATGTTGGGAGATTCACAATAAATTTAGAACGCGACAAAATTAACATATGTAGATAGAATTAGGAATAATCTTTATCGCATATGCAATCACATAGATAACCTGTAATTTAATGTATTTTGGTCATATGAATTCGGACTAGGAATAGGATTGGGTCTTGATTAAAGTAGACTTAATTTGTCTTGAAAAAGAGAATTAAATACATTAGTGATATCGATTCTCACGAAGCATTAAATTAACTATATTATGAATCAAGAATTAAAATAAATAGAAATAGAAGGATTCACAATTCTAATACAAACATTCACATATTTGATAAAATATTTTTTATTGCTTCCTTAGTTTAGAATTAGTTTAAATACCAGCAAAATCACATTTTTTGTGTTACGAATATTGAATTTAGTGTAACTAGTAAATTAGAATTAAACATTATTTCTCGTGGGACGATAACTCACAACTCACCTTATTATTACTTGTCAACGATCTCGTACGCTTGCGGATTTCACGCGAACAGTCATCATTCCATTTTGCCCATTCCCCCGGCTAAGTTCTAATCATCTTCTAGAAACCTCCGTAATCAGTTTTTTTTTTCGTTCTTCCTATGCATAGATAATGATCTTCAGATTGAAGAAAAAGGGAAATGAACAACCTTCTTATTTAAATGAAATGAGGAGAAATGGAGAATTGTCGACTTTATTGTTTTGTAATTTGAATAGCGTAATCTTCCTCACTCTCAGATTCTAGGAGCTTGCATCTATGGGTTAAAGTCAAAGCCGGACCCCGACCTGATAATAACTTGGCTTAAGTTGCTCTTTTGGAAATTATTTCAGTTGATTCTATTGGGTTGTGAGGGCGATCAATAGTAGAGGTTATTTTAAGCCCTTGTTTGAGCCCCATTTTTGGGGAAGAATGCATTTTAAATAATAGATTGATAGAGAATGTACGGTTAAAAATTTAGGAAAAGTTTTGAATTTGTGTTTAATATTATTATTGATAAATGAATGATTGAAAATGAGTTTTAAAAAAATAAATTTTCAGAAGAATGGAACTCAAACAAAGGCTAATTTAAATTTTGGGGTTCTGATGGCGATAAAAGGTTCGAGGATATGGTTGTTGGTGGCAGCACAACTCGAATGTCCATTGGTCATTTCAATAAATAAAAAATGACACATTAATCGGCAAACTAAAGTTTTTCGTTGTGTATGGATTATGATCGCACATATTTGAAAGGTTAGGACCTTGAGTTCCATAAATGCTTTGCTCATGACTTCAGCGTCACAACGTTCAAATGTTTGGGACTTCAGTTGGAACCATGGAGTCATTTAATTTCAATATTTCAGTCCAAGGTAGGGATATTCATTGTCAAACCAATCATCTCCATCTCTGAACTTCTATTCTTCAAGGGAAAAAAAGGGGTCATACATACTATTTGTAACGATTCCAAGAAAAAAAATAAAAATAAATAATAATAATAATAATAATAATAATAATAATAAAAAGGTCATTCCATAGACCACGCACTCAAGATCCATAGCTTTTGTTCTCTATCCCCAGAAAAAATAAAAATAAAAATATATTCAAACTCGAAATAACAAAATTTTTTTGTCGTAATATCAGAGATAAATAGCATAATAACCATGAAGGAACTATTATACAAACTCTTAACATTTATATGCTAAATAAATTTTAAAGCTACCGATCGACCTAAAGAATCCCTTTATTTATTCCTCTGGAAAATCTTTAAGGTTTATGGTGCTGTGTATAGATGTAATCCAGGTGAGACTCTAAAACAACCCTTCTCAAGCGCTCTTCATCTTCGTTTGGACATTCCTCAGCTCCCATCAGCTTCTGCAAAAACCAAAGAAATATGTTCTAATTTTTTCTATTTCATAGCAGTGCTTAGAAATACTGAAGAAGGGACTGAAGGAAATTACATCAAAAGAATTAGTGCTTTCCTTCTGTAGATGAAAATCCCCGTATCTGATCTTGTTCAGCTTTACACCTGCTTCTCCTGAAAAAGAGGCAAAACATTCTCTCTTTTTTTCTTTTTCTTTTTTTTTTCTTTTTTTTTTTTTCAATCAAGAAGAGAAACTGTGGCGATAATTACTTGAAACAAAATAAGGTGTTTAATTACTTACCTTGTTTGGTTGTGATTATCAACTTGCGAGCAGTTGAATGTGAGGTGCTGACAAGGGATATTGTAAGGAAGAGAAGTGCAACATAAAGGAAGTTCTGCTTCATACTTCAATTTACCTTGAACAAAGTTTTTGTGTCTGTGTTTATCTCTGTAAGAGAGAGAGAGAGTTCTTGTTGGGCGTTGGGAGTGGAGGTAGCATATGGCTAATGGCTGGTATAAATACATGCAAGAGCAGGCATGCTCGACGTATCGAACCTAATCGTCCTCTTACTTTTTCGCTGAGGTCGTTCTAATATTTCCTTCTTACATAAAGGATATCAGACCAGAGAATTAATCCTGTATTGAGAGTCGACCTCCTTAAATCGTACATTTCTTACATGTTTTTCATTAACAAGAATCTCACAAGTATTTTTAAGCCATGAAATCCCATAGCATGGTGTCTCATTGCCTGATGAAATGGGCCCCGTCCAACCCAACCCACTGATAATTCATCTTCTTATTATACTCTCCCCACGCTCATGTGATAACACCATCATCTAGCAGCAATCAATCTGATGAGAGATAAATAGAGCTTTTGCTTTAGTCATTGTCGAGGTATAGTAGTGGTCCATGTGAATGTCCAAACACTCCAGAAATCAATGTGGAATACTGATTTTGACAGTCTCAGCAAAGTCAAGTTGACAAGTACTCATAAGAGGGGGATCCATGAATTTTTTATTCAGCTTGGGCCCTCTCCCATATGTGTGGTTGTCAATCGGAATTGTCAACTTCGATTGTACATATAGTATAATTGATCAAGCATACACTCTTCTCATATTTGGAAAATCTCTTTAAATTATAAGGATTGAGTTAGGGGAACATAATGATTGACATAGAGGATGACTGAACACACATCTTGGGGGTCGGACATTATTTAATTCACGTGGGACCAGTGCACTTTGCAATGGTCGATCATCCTAGGTGTCAAATATTTTCAGGCAAAGTGACATTTTCCAAATT